AATAAACAAAATAGACATGTGCCTCTAGAATTTGTTTTGTTTGATTTCTGCACTTCGAAATGGAAATTTGGCCTGGTGCATAGTAGTACATGGTCTGAAAAGATTACAAAATGATCTGATCTATAGTCACTACCCACATTTGGAAAAATATTATAACCTCAAGACATTTTATTTTTGTCTTTTTTTTTTTTTTGCTGTCACATTGAAGACATTTGTGTCAAGAATTTATTTGTCTTTTATCTGAAGCAGACTTTATTATTTATATATAAACCAGTAAAAGTTGGCCTTGCATTAAGTGTTTTCACATATTTTTACACTGTGAAGGTCTTTAATTTCTCATCTACCTTTGCTTAATAGATCATTTGTGGAATGCTGTAATAAGATTTGTCCACTAGGGCGCAGTCAAACCACATCAAACATTAAAAAAGCATGAGCGACATGTTTTACTTGCAATGGTTTTAAATCTCATAGTTTAGGGCATTTTACTGTATAACTATTTATTTTCATTATTGAACATTCAGTGTTACTTATTTAATCCATTTACTCTAGTTCACTTGAGCAGATTTTCAATCAATTAATGTCAACTTATCACCATATAGTGACAATAAGTTATGAGACCTTCTAATTGACTTATTCGTACATGCAGTCTTATAGTTATAATGATAAATGTCCTACATTCTATCTAATATTTGTTATTGGTCTCTCCCCAGTGTTTTGATTCTTTTGTCTCATAAATGTATTTTTGGAGCTTCCCACAAGGGTATTGAGAATTAAGCTAAATCCTCACAGGATCTAGAGCAAAAGATTTGGGAAAACAAATTAAAAGGGATGTGAGCATACGTTTGATGGAATGCTTCATGTTGGTAACTCTGTGTCATTAACAGAATAAACAAGTGAAGACATTGAGGGTGTAGGGCGCTGAGAGATAATTGGTTCTATTGTGCTTCCGTCTGTGGTCTAAGGGCGGGGTTGAGATTTGATCTGACTGGGGGGATTTCTGTTGTACTCTTAAAATGTCATACTGTCACACAGACAACACATGAAAGAAGAAAGGGAAATATGACAGAGCTGTTTTTAGATGTAAGCCTCTAAATGCTGCAGCGTCTGAACGTGGAGAATACATAAAGGTGTGCTTGTTTTTGAAACATTGCCAGACCGTTTAATCCACTAATCTGTGTGTCTCCTGCGCATCTGTTTCGTCTTTCTTCTTCTCTCTTTTTCTAGCTTCTGTTTGTGTCAAAGAAGATCAGAAAGAAGACGACCGCCTGTGTACTCTAGCTGCCATCATTGAATTGAACCAAGACACTCCAAGATTCCACAAATCTGCTCGACTGGGAAAGCAAAGCGAGACAAAGCGAGACAAAGCTGAACACAACATTTTTTCATACTGTGTTTTCAGATACCCAATGGAAAGCAAAGCGAGACAAAGCAAGACAAAGCTGAACACAACATTTTTTCATACTGTGTTTCAGATACCCAATGGCCGCTAAATAACTGACAAGCATTATGGGAACTAAACTAGCTCAGAAAATTGTGAAACAAACAGTAAAAATGAAAAGTTTATCAAGAAAGTCACTTAGCTAGTTTTTTTGTCAAAATTAACTTGACATGCAACAGAAGAATTTCTGAAAAAGGAATATATAAGTATATCTTTTTTTTTTTTTTACAAAGTCATTAAATGTTTCAATTAATTTCATGCCAAACCAAGACAGATGTATTCTTTCTTGTGTTGTTAAAAATGACAATGGGGTTTCTCAGGTTACTAAATGGAATGCAACGTTTTCTCCTAAAAGTCATGCAGCTCTTTTAGGGATAATCTTCCTAAACCTGTCGCTCAGTGAACAAAATAACTGCAAGAAACTGATCACATACAGTGGGCCCGCTCTCTGAGCTACACAAGCTTCATTAAACTCCATGTAAGTGAGATGATTCAACCAGTTATCGGTGCTTTAGGGATGAGTGTCTGTATCTTGTACTGTAATTTAGGGCAGATTGATTATCAACTTTCAACAAAAATATGTCATCTGAAATTGTAAAATCAATCTTAGACCCCCCCCCCCCCACACACACACACACACACACACACAAACACACAAGCACACAAGCACGCACACACTAGATCTTGTTTCCAGACATTTGACAGGCTTGACGTGAGCTTTAAACGGAAAGTTCTGTTTATAAAAAAAATCAGGTTAGGGTAAGAATAAGTGTACTATGTGTCTGACCTACGACCCTACAAATCACAAAACATCCATGTCAAGGTGAAGGGGTGAAAATGTTCTAAATTATAGTGTGAACCCAAACTGAAATGTTTTATAGTATTTAAGGACTTCTTTAGTTGGTGTGTGTGTGTGTGAATGTCTTGTAACATCATCTGCAGTGCGAGTATTCAAGGCTGCTTCTCTAAACAGCACCATGCAACGCCATGCCACGCTATACTTTACGTACTGTCCCTTTAACAGCACTAAATGTATGAGCTTTTTTGGAAGGTTAATAGCTCATTAATTTTTATAGCAGAAATATTTTCCGCTTGAGGGAAACAGTTCCTTCACAGAAGGTACAGAGGGCGTGCTTACAGTATTTCACTAAATAGACACCTTTACATTATGTCATGGGCACCTGGATTGTAAATGTAGCAGGCAATAAAATAATAAATGCTGCTGAGGTTTAATGACTGTTATTATGATCACAGGGCACCAGAGTGAGACATCTCTGCCAGCCTTCTGTCTGTCCAAATATTTACTTGCCTATACAGTGTTGACTACCTGTCTCTCTGCTCCTCCTGACTCATTTGACTGTCTGTCTCGGTTTTTATGACTCTTTCAAGTCGCCGAAGTGCGAATCTGTCAGGGGTCTTGACAAATCTAGCTAACAGCTCTGTAAACAAACTCTGCCTGGGGGAGGGGCAGCTCAGGAGGATAACCTGAGGCTCGAGTCAGCAGTTTTTTTTCACTGCTCACATTCAGCTTCTCTGCACTGAACAAGGACATGAACATTTACTTTGTTTGTTTTTTCATTAGTTTTAATGTAAAGAATTGTAAAATTCCAATTTGACTTTGGTTTTTTAAAGAGCCCATATTATGCCCTTTTTGGGGTTCGTATATTTAATCTATGTACCTACTTTTGTACGTTCACAATAGCTAAAGTCCAAAAAAAGTGTCTGTTTTCATGTACTGCTCCTCCTTGCTCCCTCTCCGCTCTGAGTCCGTCAGCTACGCTCTGCTGAGCCCACACTGTTAGACCCCACGTGGGCCAAGTCTGCTCTGATTGGTCTGCCGATCCGCTCTGTCGTTATTGGTCAGTTGCTCAGCACGCTTTTCGGAAATTTCAACATGAGCTGCAGGGCTTGCCACAACGAGCCAATGGACTTAGATCAGTGATATCACACTGACAAGACGTCACACTGACAAATTTGTATCGAGGGGGGCTAGAACCGAGCGTTACATGCGGCTAATGCTACAGCTAACAGGAGGAGGTAGGAGAAGGACTTTGAATTTTTGCACATAGATGTGCCTAAACATGCACAGGACACTTGGATAACACACTAAAGAGCATATAAAACCAGAAAAAGCATAATATGGGACCTTTAAAACCACTGCTTCAAAGAGGCCCCTCTCTCACTCAGGTCATCTCTTGATGTATTATTTTTGTGTTCTGATGGACCACTGTTTTCATCACGTTTGCTCAGTAAACAACGACAAGAAACAACAAATAAAAATTGCAAGAACCTGCTTGGCAGCAGAGTTTTGACCCCGATGACCCAGAATTTGCAAATGCAAGTTGTTTTGCTACAATTTCAATTCAATGTGGATGAAAAGATTTTAGTAGAAGAGGAAATTTGTGACACTTCAAAGCCATCAAATGTCTCTTCAATATTGTGTTTTTCTTTCTCACATCAGTACTGATAACATCTAATCATTTCACGCACCTCCTTATTCTTGCCCCATTTTGTTTTCTTTATCTTTTGGATTTTGTAATCATGATCTTTGGAGCGTGTTGACCCCCTTCAGCAGCTCTTGACCTTAAATAACAGGGTTTGCTTGAAGTCACAGTGGGCCTGTTATGTCAAGACAAAGTGTTTAGTTTCAGAGAGTAGGTGCTTATTAAGGGATCAATGGATAAAGAGTCACATTTTTACTCTCAAGTGGAGCAGGGGAAAGAAAAACCTTTAATGTGTCTTTATATGAGTGACTGCACCCTTCTACCTTATGTAACCACCTCAGAGATAAACCTGAGCGTGTAAAAAACTTCACAATCACTCATTCAGGATTATCTGTCTTACATTTAAAAACAAAGACATTAATCCACATCCCATCAGGCAAAACTAACACATTTATTTCCTGTCACTGAATGCTTTATTTTACAACTTTGTCTCATGACAGTGATTTCCCTTTAAAGCTTTATAATAAAAACCTGCAGAATATTTCAGTCTGATAGAGACATGACTTCACTCCTAGCCTTTATAACAGAAGATGTGTCCACCAAGCCATTAGACGGCTTCAAATACTACACACAAAAATATAAAGCAATGGTTTCTAACCATTAATATGATAATTCTATTTAAGGAAATCATTTTGATGTTGCTTAAATTAGCAGTCTTTGATAATTCTGATAATACCTGCTCTCCCTTGGTTCTTGTCGATAACATATACTGTAGTAATTCACCAAATTAACTTGACACTTGCTGTAATGTTACCTCACACATTAAATAACACTTGCAAAGATACAGAGCCAACAATCAAATGCACAAGCAAAGATCAACCATCAGCATTCCTTACGTCACTCTATAAGCTTAAAAAAAACCAACAACAAGAGAAAAGTAAAACTATGTTTAAATCATTTTTCTTGTATATTGCATTTTTATTATGAGCATCTTTCATACTGATGTCATGTCAAACTGATGACACCATGTCTATTGGCATTCTGTTCACTTCAGTGGGCTAAAAACCTGTAAAAATGACAGGTAAAGTCGTGACATGGATTTAAGAAACTTTATTCAGATTAAAAACACAAAAACAGCAAATACAATTATATTCTTGTAAAATGACATAAAGGATGTATCACTAAAGTAAATGAATGTAAACTTACAGTAAGAAATAAATATCCTTTAACGACAGTATTTTTTTAGTTAAGTAGTTGGAAGATGGCTAGTTAGTTGCTTATACACAAACCCACACATACACAAACACACACAACTCTATTGTAAGCATGCTAAGCTATAGTACAGTAGTGGTGGGCAGAAAGTCTGGATGTAACATTTCTCTAATATATCAAATTGTAACTTGTAAGTCAACTGCGGGAAAACATTTTTTCTAAAAACAGAACAGAAAGAACTCATAGCCAAACAATGCCCCCCATTAATCCCCTGTTCAAAATAACAATACAAGAATAAATGATGCTCCAAATAAGCCTCCACAGTTATGTGTAATATTCTGACACTAGTCTTTTTTCAACCCCCCCCAACCTGCTGATCCATGTATCATCTGAAGCTACTTTCTGTTTTTTTTTTTCAGCATTCACTTCCTCCTTTGTGTATTTACTTCTTGGTCTCCTCGATCTGCTCCACCTCGCTGGATTCATCCACCACTTTGCCGTTGACCATTGTCTGAGTCACTACCTTCACAATCTTCCTGGTGCGAACATCTGGCTCCTCTGCGCGGAAACAAAGAACGAGATTAGAGGTGTGATTTAATGAGCGATTTTAAAAGATGAATTACTGAGGGAGATGAGAAGGGTTTAATAACAAAAGATGAAATGGGGAGGAAATACACATAGATCAAACAACTTAAAGAAACCAATATTGAAAAAATCCTTTGAGAACAAGTTTATTAGAAAATACATAAAATGAGACGATTATAGGAGAAGGAAAACAAACAAAGCAAAAAGATGGAAGGAAATGAAATATAGTTTAAAGTTTACCATAATTAACTTATTCTAACTAAATTCATGTTCTCAACATTGTCTGGATGAAGGACTTTGTGCACTTCACACTGATAACATCAGGTATGTACAAACTACTTTGACTGATCAACTTCCCTGTGTCACCGAGGACTTCACATTCTGATTCTGTGTTGGGTTTGCTCTTCCAATGTTGCAAGATGAAGTTGATCATCTTCACAACACCTTGCAATTTGTTAATCCCTCAGCATGAGTCAGTGAGAGTACAGCCGGTTACAACATAAGCATACATGCTTTGACACCCACTTTTGTTACTGTAGGATGTTTGGAATTAGCAGCGTTTGCATTGTTTTTTAAGGTCGATAACACAGCCATTATGCCCACACCTTATGGGTATGTGTGAAAGGAAAGCCAACATGTTTGCTTCTGTCTGCAACCTCACTATTCACTTCTAGATCCACAAGGTTTGGTTATTCATTATTCCATCTTTTAGTCACCCTTTTCCTGCCTTGGTTTCATCCGCAGGCTGTGTTTAAATACGTTAAAAATGAATTATTAACCTTTTTTTGCTTTATCTATTAAATATAAAAAGAATATAAAAAGTAAAATACTCACTTTTTGGTGGGGGAGCAACTTCCTTGACTCTGAAGGGCAAAAGGAAACCAATGTTAGAATGTTGTTTGACAACAAGATAGATGTATATTTAGCAACTTTTTTTTGCCCAGATTTAGGCGAGAAGATCAACACCATTCTCTACACTCTACAGTTTATATGAGTCTGGAGCCAGTAGCCAGTTAGCCTACTTTAGCTTCAAGACTTGAGAAGGAGGAAAACAGCTTGCCTAACTCGGCAGACACAACAGTGAAACCATAACTCTCCTGGTAACTTCTTTTTTTTTAGCTCCAAACAATGTTTCAGGGATCAGTTTTTTTCTTTGAGTAGAGTTTGTGTATTTAGTTCAGAAAATGTAGCATAGAATTGTTTCACTTCAACTTTCAAATTTCACTACCAAATCTACATAGTCCACCTTTAATGTCAGAAGCAGTAGGTTTCAAAATTTCAACATATCAATCTGTGTTTTTGAACATAAAAATCATGTGTCTTGTGAGGTAAATGTCTTTTTCAGGATTTCAATATAGGCTAAGGCCATTTTGTTATTGTACAGACCTGCAACTTTAGAACAATAAGTGCCGGTAAGTGTTTTGTTTTTTTGTACATCTTTAGGTTCGGGCAGTGATTAATGGACATTGATTGCACCCACAAAGATCAGTTTACACAAGTAAACCTTCCAGTTGGTCTGTTGGGTTTAATTTAGTTAATAATTCAACTTTGTAGTTTAACTGATGATCACTTGGCTAATTGTTTTTCTTTTTCCAACAGACTTCCGTTTAGGAATGCAAGTCATTCCAACACTTCACAGCAAATACCTCAGTGGATACAGTTTAAAAAGGAAGTAAACAAGTATGGAAATAAACATCATTTTGTGCTTCACCAGACTTGTCGTGTAAACTTTGAATGATTCCGCCATCCCTTTCAGAACTGGTAATAACTCACGTTTCCTCTCCCTCCAGCAGACGCCTGTAGGTGGCGATCTCCATCTCCAGGTTCTGCTTGATGCGGAGGAGTTGCTCATAGTCGGTCTTGGTGCGTTGCATGTCCAGCCTGAGCTGGGAGAGGTCATCCTCCATCTGGCTCAAGGTGGTCTGCAGCCGATCCATCTCACCGGAGTATTTCTGACCCGCTTCACCCAGGTTCCCTTCCAGCGCTGCTATCTAAGGAGGGGTAACAAGAAAAGAATATAGAGATCCGACCTTCTTATTCACACAGCTACAGGTTTGATATCGTCATAGTGTGCTTGACCTTGGGTGCAGGAATAACTCTTTTCAAGAAATGTCCCAAAATTAACCATTATTCTGTGATTGCCAGCATTTACCCATCATCACAGTATCTACTGACTGTTGTGTATCCAGTGTAAAGTGAAGGGATGATTCAAGCTTCCTGGTATGAAAAAGTCTGGCTTTTCAACCTCATTGTCTCCTGTGTCTGAAATGTCCCCTAAAACCATTATCAACAAATACCTGTGGACTGATACGGCCTTGCCATCCAAAACAAACAGTCGCTGCTCAGACAGGATTACCCATCTCACCACTGAAACTAACCCCTATACGACTTAGCAACTGAATCCAGGACGTTGTTGAATGGTTGGAGCAGTGTGGAGGAACATGTTTAGTGTCAACACGGGATTAGAAGCAAGAAAAAACAAAACAGTTCTTCCCAGACACTGATGCACAAATTTTCTACTGCACAAATAGAAAATGGGTGTAAGAGTGAATATGAACATCTGTCTGGATTTTCTGTATTGTCATCACTGAAATCCCTTATAAAAGCAGAGCCATGTTCTCTCATGTTACAGGGCCTTGTGAAAAGTTAATAACCATATCTTAAAATCTGTTTTTTAATGTTTGCACAGCCTTCTGTGTCTTAGATTTGTTTGCACAGCTCCAGATGCAGAAATATCACCCGGATAATTATTTATAATCCAAAACACAACCATGTCATGCTCCAACAGCTCTCATTAAATCCACCACATGCATTGCGTTGGACTTTCTATTGTGAACATGTAGCAGCGTGTTTATGGGATCTTTTTTGCTTCACTTGTCAGGTGTAGCAGCAGCTCACCTGTTTGTGCAGACTCTCCAGCTCCACCTCCAGGTTCTGCAGGAAGCGCTGCCTCTCTACCAGATCGCTTTGAGCTCCTCTCAGAGCCTCGTTGTTCTCCTTCACCTCGTTCTGCACCGTCTCCAGCTGCACAGTAACACAAATATGACATCAAATACACATACTGTACAATGTTAAAAATATATATATATTGTTTTAATGTCACAAACTCTACTTACTCTCAGAATATAATATTTTTTCTAACTTAAGGTCATTTGACATAAACTCTGATACAACAAGATAAGGATCCCGACAATCTAATTCAATTTACAGGAGATATCATTTGTAAAGGCTTACTCAAACAACAAAAATAAATCTGCAAACATTGTGAAAATGGATGAATTATTTCTGCAATTTTCAATGAAAAAACTGTCAATCATTCCATAGTTTGAGCTACTTGAATGAGAGGTTTTAGGTTTCTGTCCTTTGAAGTAAAGCCATCTCATCCTCATCCTTTTCAATGAGTAATGGGCTTATGATACACAAACTAAAAATACATGTACTGTAGTTCCAAAAAATAAATCGCTTATCAACACAGTCTTAAATTTGTTTCCTGTTTCGGTGAATTAGAAGGTTTGGAGAAAATAATCGCAGTCATAAAAAGGAAGATGTGGTGTTTTCTCACACCTTCTTGAGGTACCACTGCTCTGCTTGATCCTTGTTCTTCTTGACAATCCCCTCATACTGGGAGCGCAGATCAGACAGGATGGTTCCCAGTTCAGGTCCGCTGGCAGAGTCCACCTCCACATTCACCTCATCCCGAGCAATACGGGACCTCATCTGCTCCAATTCCTGCCAGAGTGGAGAAATAGTAATGTGACATTATTGCTTTTTTACTTTCATTGTTTATAAGCAGAATGCATCATGGGTACATTATAAACCTGACTCTAAACCTTACAGTACCAGGTGTAAATAATTGGTCTATGAGCTTGACACCTGTTTATCAGTTTAGTGAATCCTACACCACAGGCTGGCAGAGAGGATGTGAGGGCACCTTCATAATTTAGCTGTTATCCATCAATAGTTAATGGAGCAGAGATCAGCTTACCCACACAGGTTACTCTCTATCCATGCCACCTGTGGGTCTCTTCTACTCTCTCTTGTCTGTGACATTGCACCACATGTCATAATTCAATCATTAAATGTGATGCTGTATTATTTGAATGCTCCTAAAACACAGTATTACAGACATGGTTTGATAATAAATTCATTATTTACTCTGTTTTGTGCACTGTTTTGTGCAACATCCTTGCTTGGGAAGGGAAGGCTGTGAGAAAGAACTGTGACCTAGTTTCAAAGCTCACCCCCAGAGATGCTACTTTTCTATGTCGGTGTGTGAGAAGTCTATTTTCCTAACAAAAAGGACTGACATATATAGATAAAGGGGCATTCACAGTCCACAGTGAACTAGTTAAGAAGAAAAACAATCACAACACACACCTTAAAGAATCAATACTTGCAGCCCTATTCAAAAGCCTTCTCTTGGAGGGTCAAATTGTGGGTCTGACCAAAACCAAATCTGGCTTAAACTGTTTTTGCAGCACCGTTCTTTCATAGTATATCACTATCTTAATAAATGTGATGCCATTCACACCTTGTTTTAGTAAGTAGGGAAACAATCCTTTCTTTGGAGAGAGGGGGTAAGTTTATCTTAGTTCCTCATCCTCTTAGAGCAAAGCAGTCCGGGCGCCACTGATCAGCTGATTGGACAGAAAGAGCTGGTTTGGGAAACCAGATCTACCTGCTCCTTTTGTCTGTAGTAACCATAAGACCACCTCTCTCTCTCTTTCACCCGCTCCTTACATGTTCTTTGCTCACCCCTCAAGCTGTTAAAAGCTCCTCTTAAGTCTAGCAAATGAGGTCAGTCTGATATGAAACAGTTTGTTGTTTGTGAGGGCAAGTTGGAGAATAAGAAAGAGGGGCCAAAACGAAAACGAGATGAGAAAAATGTTGAGTACTGGAGAAGCCAAATAACACAGAGTGTTAAAGGACCCCTGCATGCTTTTCTAATATAGAGGGAAAAAAACAAAAGGAAGGGATAAAAAGAGGACAGGTGGTTCAAGTTCACTGACAAACCTCCTCGTGGTTTTTCTTGAGGAAGTAAAGTTCTTCTTTCAAGCTGTCCAGGTCTCCTCTCAGAGAGGCGATGATCTGCTCGTGGTCGGTCTTTGCCTTCTTTAGAGCGACACAGTCTCTCTCCACAGACTGACACATCACCATCTCAGTCTCCCACCTAGAAAAGTCCACGTCAAAGAAACACAGCAGAAAAACAAGAACATCGTTGTGTATTCACCTCCTTTTTTTCAAATCAATAAAAAGTGGCCTATAATGTTACACATACAGTACATATTCATTTGAGGTCTGTCTGGAGATTGAAAGTGAACATGTGAATATAAATGCAGAAAAACAACTGCATTGATCTCTCAGTGTAATAAACATAGTGTTCTTAAAAATCTCTATGCACTTTCAAAAACAACAGCAACAAGTAGGAAATCAACTATCGCAGCTGTGAAAATTCTACATCAGTATTATGTTTTATTCTTTTATTTAACAGGGACACATGCAATGAAAATTGCTTCATATTTAAAATACAAAGAAGATGCGAGGCACACAGGTTTCTAACCATGTCTAATTTGCGACCCCTGTCCCTAGCTCAGATTTTAGGATTAAAACAGAATAATTTGACTTAAAGAAATACACAAGAAGTGATACAATACAAATATAGACATTATAAACTCAATATATCTATATAGAATCACCATTAAATATACAAATGGCAAAAGTTAGAGTCAATCCAATAAAACTTATGACATGAAATGTGACAGTGATTAAACATATTATTTGAATGCTACCAAGCTGTGGAGGCAAATTGTCACCACCAACACATGAATCTAACTTCAGAGGACCTAATGAAAATGCATTGATGAAACTTGATGGTTCTTGTTGTCTATATAAGGAATGTGAATAAATCACTCACTTGATTCTGAAGTCATCAGCGGCCAGTTTAGCGTTATCGATCTCCAACATGAGACGAGCACTTTCCAAGGTCTTCTTCCTCACCTGACAAATATTAACAGGGGGTGGAAAGTGTTAAAACAGAAATGAATGTATCTCACTAAAGTGTATCTTTACTCCTAAATCTATACTTCATAAACACATGTATGTATTGCAGTAACAGTGAAGGGTATTTTTACAGTAGTTGATTAACTAATGATTACAACAGAAATAGACCGAGAAGTCCATAGATGTTATTAAACTGTAACTGTTTAAAAAAACAGCAATCATTAACTCCACCCAGGCTCAGTTTGGCACAAGTTGACTCGGAGATTAGTTGCAGGCGCCTCTATAATCCAAACATTTGCATGAATGTCTTGTCTATGTAAAATAACTTAAGTCATCATCACCTTGACCTTTGCCCATGAACACACATAGAGCTGTCTATTGAACTGTCTACCTCTTGCTCAACAGCATGAGCTTGGGCCATCATGGAGTCAAGGTCGTGACCTTTAGGAATGCGGTCGATCATCAGCTGCTTGATCTTCATCTCCAGGTCTGCATTGGAGCGCTCCAGTGAACGCACCTGAAAGGAAGTGAAAAAAAAAGAAAAATTAAACGATGAAAGTGTAGCTTGCTTATCATCCTATCATCTCCTTTTCTTTTCCAATCAGGCTGCTGGCCGATGACCAATAGCTTGACAGTCACACCTTGTCCAGGTAGTTCGCCAGGCGGCTGTTGAGGCTCTGCATGGCTTCCTTCTCATTAGCGCTGTTGCCGTGGAGACCGTTGAGCTGCAGGCTGGTCGGTCCGTTGAGGTCCTGGCTGATGGAGGCTGAGCGACTCAGCGGGCTGGCTGCGGCGAAAGACACAGAGGCTCTGGAGCGAGCACGGCCGGTGTCCATGAGAGAACGACTGGAGAAGGAAGGTTGACGGCTCATGGAGAAACTCCTCACTGACATGCTGGAGGCCATGATGGACGACTCTAAAGAGAAACAAAGAGCAACACGCAGAAATTAGACCATGTTTGTTGATGAACTTGTACAGACAGAAAGGAAGCACAAAAATCCCATATGTCACACCTATAACAGCTCCTGAGGTGTTATTTCATATTTCATAGAGGAGAGTAAACAGATGTTGAAGTTATAAATAATACAAGAATATTCATAAGGAAAATCTCTAACTTCTTAAAGCCAGACTATTGCAGTCACTTAAAGCTACTGTAACATGAGCTAAAGCTGGAGAAAAACTCTTGTGTAGCACTCAAGCAAATGTCTTTTATTCTAAGTATTTTGCCAGACTTAAAAGCAAGTATAGGGCCTTATATTCAAGACCACTGACAGCTGCTGAAAATGATAAGAGAAGCCCTTTAAATAGAGGACTTTTTTTTTTGAGAGGTCGGAGCCACTTCAGTCTGTCCATCTCAGCTCAGTTCAAAATTCATCTTCAGCTATAGTCAGTGTAGATTCAAAATGTAAATAAGTTCAGCTCACAGAAGGGATGAACAAGAGGCACTTAAAAGCACCAAGAACACTCTCATGCAGTCTCATACTATGATAATGAGACCCATTTAAATTCAAGGAAAGACTAATGGGGAATTCATAAAGATTGAGAAAAAAGAAAGACATGATCGTGACTCAAAAATGAAAGCCTTCCCCAACCAGAGATCATTTTGAAAGTTTGTAGTTTTTACAGTTTCTATTGCTTGTTGTTTTTCCATTTTTTGTTTTATGAATGCATCAAATGCTACATATTCAGTATCAGATTGAGGATGGAGTTGTGTTTTACAATTAAAAAACAGCTTGTTATCATCAATTTAATGGTGTTTTGGATTTGGAGTTGAGTCTTTGGGTTTAGTCAATTTCATGTGTACTGCTTCATCATTGTTAAATTCCTTCAGAGGTTTAGATGGTTAAATATTATTAAAGTTGTTTCTAGTTCTAATTGAAAATAATAATTTAAAGATGTTTTAATAGTCCCATTAGCCTCATTTGATATTTCACTGCATCTTTGTCCTTGCATGTGTGCTTGCGTGTGTGTGTGTGTGTGTGTGTGTGTGTGTGTGTGTGTGTGTGTGTGTGTGTGTGTGTGTGTGTGTGTGTGTGTGTGTGTGTGTGTGTGTGTGCGTGCGTGTGTGTTGTTTTTTGCGCATGCCTGCCTTTGTGTGTTACCAGTCAAGAGAACCTCTCTGTCTCTGTCACCTGATCCTCGCAACACCGTTCCCACAACACTACAAAGGAGTAAGCAGGAGACAGACAGCTCCTTGTTCAGATGAAAGATACAGCTTTGGGAAAATGATCGGGAAAATATTCTGAGTGAATTCCAGGGACACAAGGAGACACTTTGTTCAGAAGGAAATGGACTGTCATTGCATTTCTTTTTTTCTAAAACCATCTTGTCATTAGCTCACAGATAGCTGTGATGACAACTCGGAACGAAAAAAAAAAAATCTTCTTGGAAACAGTGGTTAAAGAGTTTTCTCAAATTGTACTTTTTATTTTCATTAGTGCTTAAGTTTTTCACAATCTCATCTATCAAAAGATATTAAAGAAAAAGTGATTTTTTTGAAAGACATTTTAAATCTTCAGTAATTATAAATGAATTTTCTTAAAAAATAATAATTCTAAACAATTAAAAAAAAAAAAAACATTGTACTCACCAGGTTTATCTTCAGGTGGAGGATCAGTGATGTACAGAGGAATACAGGAGGCTTTGTGCTGCTGATGCTACAGGTGAGCATATATACAGGTATGCAGGAAGTGGGAGGAGCTAGCTCTGAACAAGAGGTGTGTTCACTACACCTGAAGGTCTTTACAAAGATAGGTGTCCAGTTCTGTAATCAAACTGAAAAAAGACTTTTCAATCCACTTGCTAGCCTTTTATTAATTCATTTTTTTGCTGAGGTACTACATGATTACTTGCCATCTAAATGCACACAAAAGGTCTTTTCAGTTTCATTAACTACGTATGGTTGGCTTGAATTTGAACTGATCATTATTTCTTTTTCAAAACTTTTTCCTTTTGTTTCCACTTACAAAAGACTGCAAGTCTCTCTCCATATCATAATATAAAATGTGATGTGTGATATGGTCCTCTCGCATAAAAGTTTCTATAGCCTGTCGCTTTCCTTTTTTACATCACACATGTTCTGAGGGCAAAAGCATTACAAATAAGCAATTTGCTTATTTGTAATGCTTTTGCCCTCAGAACTATCAGTAATGTTGAAAAAGATTGATAACATACAACATAGACATCTGACCTAAAGTTAGCACAGAGGCACTCTTCTCTTTAACAGACTTGATATCAACGGCCTTCTATGGTGTTCAACTGCACATCCTGCATGCACAGTGGAAGCTCAAATATGAAAGCTAAGACACAACTTGCAAAACACATTTTTTAAAGGTGAGGATGGTTTAAGCATTGGAAGCAAGCAACAAAGTTGAAAACACAAAGAATTACAAATGATTAAAGTCCAAGGTTAATATATTGAACATGAAAACGTTGACAAAGAACTCCTGAGCTTCACATCCTTCCCACAGACCAAAAACGTAATTACTAATTCAGAAACTTGCTTTTTTCCTCTATGTGAATGTTTATTCAACATCTATTCTCCTTTTAGCTCTGTTTTTGGTCTCCACCTTGTCCAAAAATGATCCACTATTCACCAACTAAGTGAGTCTGCTGTTTGTTGCTATTTCAAAATGCTTCTTTTTTGTTAGAGTGTTCACTATGTTAAAAAGGTTGATGACAGCAGTGAAACTAAAACATTAAAACTGTTTCCTGTAAACAAAAGTAATAAACTAAAAGATGCTAAAATGCTAAGTAGAGCTGAGGAGAGGTGCAGAGTTGGATGCTAATTCTTTGCATGCATTGCTATAAGAGACTAATGTTATTATTGTGCATAGATTTCTGTACTTCTCTGCAGCCCTCCTGTCCTACAGTCAGTCATCTCGCTGTAACCCGACCATCCAGTGATAAAATATTTAACAAGTGATTCTGAAAAAGAACAAACCTGCTCTGAAACAAACATGGAGTGGGATGTACAGGCTCTATTCAAACAGGTCTGGATGCCCAGAATAGCTGGTTAGCGTATAACAGAAAACAAAATTCAAACTTGGGGTTACTGTATATGGGCAGAAGGTGGAAAGTTTGAACTGATCTACTGTTTCCTGCCATTTATTTACTTTATTTACTCACACTTACAAATACATATCTTTGGGCCGACCTTCATGTGTACATTACAAATGAAGGTCTGCAACAAACACACACTGCTGTGGTCAATATTTACTTCCATTTACACACGAAGCCTTGTGTTTACAGTGTGCTCCTAATACAGCTGTTCAACTATCTACAGTAACTCTCTTGAACTTTGTCCATGAAAAGTTTTCTGGAAACATTGAGGGATGTTTGACATTGAAAACAAAGAGTGACTGAAGCATGTCTTTGCCACATATTATCATATTCAAATTCAAGTGAGATGAAAATATTCCTTGTTTCTGTCAGCATTGCAAATGTCTCCATTTGCATTCAGTAGAGTTATATCTTAGCTTGAAAAGCTACGCCATGACTTTTATTATTCCTTTCTTTTATTTTTCTTATTTAATCCAAACCTTGAAAAAATTCTACAATTCTACAATTCATTTAGCAGACCCTTTTATCCAAAGCGACGTACATCAGAGAGTAAGTACAAAACAAGCAAGAATCTAGAAAAAAGGGAACAATGTCAGTAAGAGCAAACGATCAGCTTTGAGTCCGATTGGACGCACAGGTGCTGACAGGCATTGCACAGAGGCTAAGCACAACATTGACGGCAGTTCTTGAGAGCTCTAATCAGTATAGAAACCATCTTATAAGTCATCGTTATCAAACAAAAACCATCTTCACAACCATCATCATCAATAATATGGAGACCATCATCATTAAGTTAGTAGGTATTCATGAAAGAGCTGGGTCTTTAGCTTTTTCTCAAAGGTCCAGAGGGACTCTGCAGATCGAATGGAGTTTGGAAGTTCATTCCACCACCGGGGGGTGACAGAGGAGAAGAGTCTAGTCAGAGACTTAGGACCCTGTTGTGAAGGTTGGATCAGATGCCTTTCATTGGCTGAGCGTAGTGGGTGGGAGGGAGTGTAGACCTGGATGAGAGAGTTAAAGTAAGGAGGAGCCGTTTTTGTTGCTGTTTTGTAAGCGAGCAGCAGAGTTTTAAATTTGATGCGAGCAGTAACTGGGAGCCAGTGTAAGGAGATGAACAGTGGAGTGACATGTGCTCTTTTAGGAAGGTTGAAGACCAGTCGTGCTGCTGCATTTTGTATCATCTGCAGAGGTTTGATAGTGCATGTAGGAAGACCTGCCAGTAGAGAGTTGCAATAGTCGACGCATGATATCACAAGAGCCTGTACCAGGAGCTGTGTAGCATGTTCTGACAGGTAAGGTCTGATCTTCCTGATGTTGTACAGGGCAAATCGACACGACCGGGCAATCGAGGCTACTTGAACCTTAAAAGTTAGCTGGTCTTCAATCATGACACCCAGGTTCCAGGGAGACTTTGGGGGCATGAGTTTGATTGTTCCAAGCGGGATATTGATCTGTAGTTGCATATAGGGACTGGCTGGGATGACAAGGAGCTCAGTCTTTGAAAGATTGAGTTGAAGGTGGTGTTCATTCATCCATTTAGAGATATCAGCAAGGCATGACGAGATTCTTGCAGAGATTGTAACATTGTTTGGCGGGAATGACAGGAAGAGCTGGGTATCGTCAGCATAGTAGTGGTATGAGAAGCCATGAGAGTGGATTATTGAACCAAGTGAGCTTGTCTATATGGAGAAGGGAAGGGGACCAAGCACTGACCCTTGAGGTACCCCTGTGGATAAACTGTGCGCTTTGGACACTTCTCCCTTCCACGACACTCGAAAGGATCCACCAGAGAGGTAGGACACGAACCAGGAGAGGGCAGATCCTGAGATGCCAAGTTCAGAGAGCGTGGATAGGAGGATTTGATGGTTGACTGTGTCAAAGGCAGCAGACAGGTCTAGCAGTAATAGAACTGAGGACTGACCCGCATCTCTGGCAGCTCTTAGCGATTCTGTTACTGACAGTAGTGCAGTTTCAGTAGAGTGGCCCTGCTTAAAGCCTGACTGATTTGGGTCAAACAGATCGTTTCTGGACAGGAACTCAGAGACTTGCTTAAAGACTGTGCGCTCAAGTATTTTTGACAGAAAGGGCAGAAGAGAAACCGGTCTGTAGTTTTCAACCTGCGTTGGGTTTAGTGTGGGTTTTTTGAGCAGAGGGGTGGCCCGAGCTTGCTTGAATGCAGTGGGGAACACACCCGTTGACAGAGAGGAGTTGATGATATTCTTAAGTGCAGCATTAAGCGGAGAGGAAATGGTCTGCAGGAGGCTTGATGGCATTGGGTCCAGAGGACAGGTGGTGGGCCGAGAGTCTAGCACAAGCTTAGAGACTTCATCCTCATGTGATCAAGTCTTTGTTAGGTCATGTTGTTTTTTCAGAGCAACAGCATATTGATCATGCATTGGTCACAATTCTTAATGATAGAGTTATCACTGTAATTTACTGACGGACTGATGGTAATCCAAATGAATATATCTCCTTTACTTGAGCAGTTATGATCTATCTTTCATAATCAGTAATAATGTCTTTGTAAAGTTGAGACTTAAATCTGAAGGTGACGGCGTCTTTTCCATTAGGACCCTTCGACTGTGGAACGACCTGTCTGAGGAGATGAGGCTTACAGAATCAGTGACTTCTTTTAAATCTCTTCTTAAAACCTACTTTTATGCGATGTTGGCTTCTTATTTCCTTTTTATCTCCCTCTCCTCATTTCCTTTTAATTTTTTAGCCCATTTTATTTCCCCTAAATACTCACTTCATTTGCTTGCTCCTTTGATGTTCTCTTTTATTGTTATTTTTAATTGATTTACTGCTTTTATCTCTCTGTATTGAGTCCAGCTCCTTTTGACTGCTGCTATTGCTTTTATATTTTCACTTTAATCATCTATTTAATGCTTCAGCTAATTGTATTGTTTATTTCAATTTATAGCTAATATTCCCTGCTATAATTTTAATCTCATGTTTGATCTTCTTTAAGATTTCTTTTTTTTTTAGCTTCTGGTCACTTTTATTGCTTGATCTCTTTTAATTGCTTACTTATCTTCTTACATCTTCAGTCTTTTTGGTTTTAACGTAAGTTGCCTGTGTCTCGCGTTGCCTGCGTTGCCTGCGTTGCCTGCGTTGCCTGCGTTGCCTGCGTTGCCTGAGTTATGATGAGCAATTTTGTTGCTGATGATGTTGTTCGGGTTCTGGTGTTTCTCGGGTAGGTGTTTGGGTTCTTTAACTCTTTGGGTTTTTGTTGTTGTTGTTTGGGTGTCTCATCTGTGGGTTGCTCTGTTGGTGTTTTCTTGTTGTTTGGGTTCTTATGCTTTGTTATGCTCGTGTATGCGTCAAAGCACATTTTAATCCCTTGTTTTTAAAAGTTTATGAAGCTCTCCCAAAAAGCCATTTAACAAACAAACCAACCCTCTAGAAAAGGAAACACAAGCATGAAATCAAATGCACACTTAATATAGAACATGAGATGTAACAAAGTAACAAATATGAAAGTCATTAATAGAGTAATCAGTAAAGGTTTAAGAGGTGATTAAGATATCATCCAGCTCTATAAATAAACTTGCCTTGCCTATCAAAAGGAAGATAGTGATTACATGTA